CCCATTGAAGTTTTCTTTTAACTTTCTAGATACAATTTAAGATTTTGTCTAAATACACACACACATCAAACCACCAGTCTTTTAAATAAATCAACTACTTATTAGGTCAATTGTCTTAAAAATTATACAACCGAAATTCAAAAGATTCTAAATCCGAGTTTTTAAAAAAAGGCGAAAATACCTCAAGAATCCCCTACTCAGCCAGATTTATTCTACAACAATCAATTATACAATCTCCTGGCCAAGTAGATGACAGTTACGAATCCCGCCGCACCTATTTCATCAGCAGTCAGGTCAACTGGGTAGTTACACTAGCCTTCGCAAGATAAATACGGCTTTTATAGCATACTACATGAGAAATTTCATCCGATTCAAACCAGGTTACAACGACAATCAGATCCTGTTTGACTAAAAACTGCAGTAAGACTCAAAGTAGGAAACATTTGCCGGCATAATTTTACTATGATTTTCACTAAATGTTTGCCTAAATTTATATATTAAAACAAAAACAAGATCAGGTCGAAAAAGTTAATTTGTTAGAACTTAGTTAGTTACCCGATAGTGGGCTACGAGCCACATTTTTTATTTGTGTGAAAACATGCTGGAGTAGGTGAGCCGAGGCACAATGTCTAAAAGTCGAGTGCTTAAGCCGATGAGCTATATTCTCACATTCTAGATAGACGAGAAAAGATGTCAAGGTATAGTCAAGGTATGATAAACAATTCTAATGGACAATTATATTATTTTTACACAAAGGATGCTGCAATGATAATACATAAAGCCTGTTTCTATTTAAAAAATATATTTACACTGAGCAATATTAATGTTGGGCATTGGTCGAGTGCTAGGTAAGTGGGAGGGAAAATCAATCGAAGAGGTTATGAAGTTACACCGATTGAGATGGTTAGGACATGTGCCGTGTTACATATGCCTAGCCCAGCCATTGCCTTCCTTGACGGGCAGTGTTAACTGACGTATGATCACGTTGGAAAAGAAAAACATGGCTTAATCGGCCAATGAAATCCACAACAGTTAATTTAAGCCGGCCACCTAGGGAGGTGTAGACTGACTGACTCGTGGGGGTCCTCCGGATTGATGATAAGAACCAATGATGGCTGGAGACAGTTGGTGATATGGCTGGCTCAAAATCCTCCTTCTCAATAGCTGGCTCGGACGCATTCACTCTTCGTGATTTATAATACCCAATAAAACTATATTGTTCTTCCACATTACTATTCTTTTTACCTCATATCTCTGTTTATTATCTCTCTTCTCTTGCTTTGTTTACTACATGGAGTGTGGCGAATCGAACTGCTGCACATCTGTGCAAATTCCTACGTCGAAACTAGTCAGTCAGTTATGTATACTGTCATCTAATTAAGAAAGATATGTCTGTCATCACTGACAACTGTAATGTGTTACACATATAAGGATAAGTCTTTGACTTTGATTCTTTAAAGTGTCAGAAAAATTAAGAGAGAACTCGAGCAAACGGGTAAAATACGAATATATATATATATATATATATATATATATATATAAATCTCAGCGATTCAATATAAATATATGTAGTGAGCTGTGGGAGGAATTTGAAGTGAGAAGACTTGTGAAACTACCCAGATGTCTTGGTCACAATAAGTACAGTGCAGTTTAAATCAAACCCAGTTGCATAAAAGTTGCGTATTCACGCCTATAAATCATAGTTTCACGTTTGTCTGTCTGTCTGTTTTCGATATAGAACTTTGCACATATGTGCGGCAGTTTAAGTCGCCACACTCCCTCCTTGTAGCACACAAAGCAAGAGAAGAAAGTAGGAGAAATGCATAATGCAGATAGTAAACAGAGGTGTGAGACAAAGGTATAGTAATGACGAAGAACAAAACAGTTTAGTTGAAAATCATAAGTCACAAGGAATGCATGCATCTGCGCCAGCCATTGAGAACGATCACTTTGAGCCATGTCACCAATTGTTTCCAACCATTGGTTTTTACCGTCCCGAGGACCCTAACCAGTCAGGAAGTCTACACCTTCTACGTCGCTTGCTTAAACTCACCATTGTGGATTTCATTGACTGGTGCCATGTTTTGGTTTGACCGCCCCTAGCTCTTCTCCAACCTGACCCTATGTCAGCTAACATTGCCCATTGTCGAGGAAGGCGATGACTAGGCATACGTAGCACATGTCCTAACCATCTCAGTCGATGTAATTTCACAGTCTCGTAGACTGATTTCCCCGTCTTACCTAGCACTCGACGCCTCACAAAAATATTGCTCACCTTATCATACCACTTCACGCAGGAGATAGAATGCAGACACCTATGATCGAACACAGATAATCTTTTCATGTCTTCTGCTCTCAATGACCAGGTCTCACAGCCATAAAGGAGGACGGAGCGGACTTCTGAGCAGTACACACGTCATTTGGTCGACAGTCAGCCGGATATCATGTCTACTAAGCCAGAGACGGTGTAAACTGGCATATGCGAAACTAGCCCTCTGTATCCGTGCTGAGATTTCGTCAGAGATCAACCCGTTGGGGCTGATGGTACTTCCCAAGTAAGTGAAGCGGTCAACGTGCTCTACCACTTCACTTCCTATTTCTAATCTAGGGGTTCGTGTAGTCCAAACCTGCAACATCATCTTACTCGAATATTGAATAACACTAACAATATATTACTTAAAATAATACTGTGGTAGTAGAAATAGTAGTAGATTGGACGATAAATTACCCAAAGATTCCCATTAAATCTCAACACCCCATCCGTACTCGCTAATAAAATAACTTTATATCCACACCAGGAAGTGGAATAATCATACTACCAGTGAAAACAAAAAATAAGAATCATCTAACTTAATTACTTTTTGGGGGTGTTCTACAGAAAAGCGAAAGTGTAAATGCAAACGGACTGATGGACATTCAAGTCCACCTAGGGGAGCTGGGAAACCCTGATTCCAAACCTGTGGTAGTGTACATCAGCTCCAGAATCCAAGTCGAATGGCGTATGGATCTGTTTTGGTCACTGGAAATCATGGGGTACAGATCCTGACGCTGCTCAACTGCCTTGTGGATTAGACATCATGTCAAAAGCTACAGAGGCTCCCTAGGACAACCACCTGTTTCGGTCTAGGAGTCCAGATAGTATCCCGACCCTCACACATATTATGGAATTTTGTGTGTCACATCTCCTGGTGTCCACAATGTAGCAAATTTGTTTTAATAATAAATTATTCTATAAAGGTTATGTATGCACTGAACAACCAACTACGCACAATGTATGGGGAAGAGTGGAATCAACTATTTACCAAAATTGAAGAGGATTGCAGAGGGGCGAGAGGGGCTGTATTCGAACCCGTCATTCGAACACTAATTGTTAGGAATACACATCGAAGATCTGTTAAGAAATATTTATTTATTTCTTTGAATTTATCACTGCATGATTAATTGATATGTCATTGAGAAGACTGTTTCCTCTAAGGATACAGTCACTTTCTACGAATACCACACACGTAATGAAAGTCTGACTCATATGTAGTACAGCCAATGACATTTATAGCCAAAGACGATATTACAAAAGAATCCCTAATAAGTTCACTGTTGACTTATTGATACTTAATCTACAAACACCTAATAGCTATTGATAGGTTTCGTTTTTATATGAAATACGCCAACGTCATAATATCCACTCTGCATTCCTTGTGTGTAGCTCATATATATCTGGCTTACGATGCTTTATCAAAGCAAAACAAAAAAATAAAATTCACAGTATTAAATATACACATACTGTCATGTAAACGTGATTTTTCTATAAAAGAAAAAACATTTGATTAAACCGTCAGTTAGAAAATGCAATTTTTGTTCACAGATGAAAGTGATGGATGTACATTAATATACCTCATCAACACCTCAATGTTATCATTATTTTTGGTTAGCTGTCGATTCAACAAATGCATCAAAAATGTATATATGGACGACTATTTATCACAGGGTTATTTAATGAATTTTAATAATCATAAGTCAAAGGTCACATTTATTTATTTATTCATAAAGGAAGGTATATATGCTAAGATGCCCTTGATGTGAAAAAGATTTCGATAGTACCAAATGGACCAAGCTGATAATGTATGTAGAGTGCGGTAAAAACTTGTTCCTCTTACTGGACTACTGGATGGAAATACTGATTGACTGGTGCATCAGTCAAACTTGCCACTCTCCCTACATGTAGCACACAAAGCAAGAGAAGAATGTAAAGACAGATTCAACAAAAGAAAGATAATAAACAGAAGTGTGAGTGAAGGAAAAAATATAGTATTATGGAAGAACAATAGAATTCTATTGGATATGGCTGGCAAATCACAAAGAGCGAATGCATATGCACCAGCTATTGACAACGAGGATTTTGAGCCAGCCATATCACCACTAATTGTCTCCAGCGCTTATTGGTTATTACCATCCATCCCGAGGACTCCAACCAGGAAGCCAGCCAGTCTACACCTCCCTACGTAACTAGAAGGCTAGCTTAAACTAACTGTTATGGATTTCATTGACTGATGAAGCCATGTTTTCGTCCGACCACCAATAACTTTCTCTTTTCCACCCTGATCCAGCCGATTTCAGTCAGCTAACATTACCCGTCAAAGAACTACTGGTTATTTTGCAATGAAATAGGTTCACATGGATTTGAGGAAATACACAACCGAAATTCCGGACAGTAAAAAACGCTAGTTTATTTGAATTTCAGAATACTGCGGACTCTAGTGACCTCTAGTTGGAAAGCGATCGTTATGTGGAGAATTTTTTGAATATATATTACCTCATTATTAACAGCTGTCTTCGCTCAATACTACTCAAGATCAGATGGCCAGAAAAGATCAGCAATAGTGAGGGATCTCTGGGAACGAACCAACCAGGAACCAATTGTGCAACAAATATGCAGGAAGAAATAGAGGTGGATTGGCCATTTCTGAGAAAAAAACCACCAAGTGAGTGACATCACACGCCAGGCCATCGCTCGAGTGGAACCCGAATAGGAAGTGGTGAGTTAATTGGTCGTCAAAGCGAGGGTGACATGGAGGAGGCCATGTCAAGAGATCAAAGCATGTGGGCAGACGTGGAGATAGGTGAAAACGTTGGCAGAGAACCAAACGCAATGGAGACGTGCGGTTAAAGCCCTATGTTCCTCTAGGAACTAAAGGAAACAATAATAAAAACATTACATCAATAGATCACCCGACCTACATTTCATAAAAATATAAGGCAATGAAGTAGGTGAAATAGATATTATATGATAAATATATGTCAAACTACCACCTTTTGTAAGCGGCATATCTAATAACTGATAAAGAATTCTATCTGTACTTTAAGACAAGTTCAGTTAGAATTATTCTGTACATTCCAAAGGAAATTTAGTTCATAATTGTCAAACCATGAAGTATATTTCTAGGTTTGCGAGTTTTTACAACTTGAAATCAGTTCGAGAAATCAACAAATTATTGACTTGAAAGTAGGAGTAGGAGTCAAGTTAAAATAAAAATCAAGTAAGATAACAAATTAGCGGTAGAACTTAACAAGAACAACATGTTTTATGATTGTCGAAGTCTGGCTAAACGTTGAGTCAGACCGTCTTCTTCTTCTGCTGAAATTGGTGCTACTGAAACAGAGCTTGGATTTGCTCCGTCGAGCTCCTGGTTGAGTTCAATTCCAGCCTCGTCTGCTACTTGGTTTATTAGTCCCTGAACTTCGTTTTCAGGAGTTGAGATAGACATTGTATTTGCTAGAGATGAACTCACAAGCTGTCAATAAAAATTAGAAGTGAGCAACTAAACAAACCTTGGACTGGATATCTATATTGTCAAATTCCATTTCGAATCTATCCATAAGACTACTAACCTTTTCCATATCCATGGATTTTGCTGCATCTTCCATACATCCCACGACTGTCATAATGCTCTTGGTAAAGCTCTTCGTTGTGATAGCAGACTGAACTCTGGAAACAAGGGCATCAATTCGGGCAGCAAGTCTAAGATAGCTAGTTGCAGTATGCTTGTGTCGGATTGCATTTTCTGCATGAATTCTGGCACCTTCTGTATCTCCTTTTTTAATGGCCATCTTCAGTTTGTTTTTAGCATCTAATTCATCTCTGTTACATCGTGCAGCACATCTTTGCATTTGCTTCCCAGCAAACTTAAGGTTGAATACCTGTTTTTCCATATTCCGTTATTCCAAAAGTGACCTTGAAGGCCACAGCCTTTAATTACCGCACCAGTAATTAGAGTCCAATATACAATATCATTCTGATGAATTTAAAACCCCAAGATTTCTTGTCACTTGCTTCTTGCCACTGAAGAAAGTTTCGGAATTTTCAACGGATTTCAATAAAATCAATACCCCCACAACTGCTGCATATTACGCAATTTGCTGGATGGCGCCTAATAGCGGAATCAAGGATAAGCATTTCTTCCTATTCAGAAACCGTTATCTGGATGCACCTGCACTGTTAGTGAGTTATGGTGTACATTATTTTGAAAAAATTTTTTGGATTGTACTCTGCTAGTGGGGCTGCTTGGACTCGCAGATTTCGTTTTTTTAGACTGTCTTCAAGTTGCATCAACACAAACCGTAGACAGAAAGTTAAATACTAAGCTGGTGGAAGCGGTTGAGAGGACGAAACGAAAGAAAGATGAGACAGGGGAAACGAATATAAGTCTGATTAGAGAGCGGCAGCACACATATATGCAGCTGAAGGATCCACATTTTTGTGGGAGGAAAGAAGGCTTCTCTCGTAACTCTCTGAGCTTTTCAAGTCCCTTCTTGAACCAGTGAGTCCAGAGCACATACACCACTCCTTCTGAAAGTCGGTCCTAAGGGTACGTCACTTGCTGAGTAAGCCAGTATTCTCTTGCCATATCCCTTGAGATGTTAGGATAAGATGGGAAGGAGAAGTTAAAGAAGTTTCGGTTTATAGTCATTTCTTAGAATAAAAAATATCATAATTAGGTCTCTCCTCAGCCTACGGTATGGTAAGGATAAGAAATTCACTTTGTTAAGCTGCTCCTCATACGGTAAATTGGTCATAACCACAGCCTTACCTCGAACTCTTTCCAACGAAGGAATATGCATATGAGTCCGCTCTAAGCCATAAGCTTTCTCTCTAAGTACAGTCTCGCGATTTGGACTCACTGGAGAGAAAGACAAATCGATTAAGATCGCAGTAACGTCACTGAAATTGTCACGAAATATTTCCGCGGCTAGAACACAACTACACAGTGGTTAGGACTCTCGCCGACCATGCACATGGTCCGGGGTTCGATCCCCTGCCGATGCACACCTGATATCTATGGTCGGCCTACAAAATTTGTGCTACCGATATCACATGCTGAAAATTCCATAACTGTACCAAAAAATACAGTGTGGAATCAAGCTGTAATCGAAAAATAAAAAATACATAGAACTCAGAATACTACTTATCCATGTAACTCCCAACTCCATCGTCAGTGATTTTAAAAGACAGACAAGTAATTCGAAGATTTAATGATCAAAAAACAATAGACCAGTATGACAAGACGAATTATACAGAGGTTTAGAGGCTGAGGGTGTTGAAGTTCACAGATAGTATGATGTATAACCACGCAAGATCTAATACCCACAACTTCTACGGCATTCGTTCCACGTAGACTAAAGGCAAAGCAAAACACCAAATTGATTGTCTGAATTACGAAGTTTGTTTCGTGACAAAATCGCAGCGCGAGGACAACTGCTTAACTAGCCAGGGATCGTGCACGAACAAAAGAATGAACGTAAAACGATGTTGTGCCAAATGGCGTAGACCATGGGCCTTCAGCTAAACGAGTCGACTTAAACAATGAGGGTGAGCATGCAGTGATCAGTGATGAATACTGTGGCTAATAATTCTGGGGAATTACCTCCCGCTACAGCTCACCCCCCTCCTAGGGAAGCTGTGAGGGCTAGAAGACGAAATGAGCTGGAAGAACCAATAGTAAAACTCTTCCGATGGACTTGATGGATTGCCTACTGTTCGTCTACTTAAGCTAATTTGGTGTGTGTGGGCCGCTTTGTTGATGTTCATCCTTTAGATCTCATGTTTCGTTTGATTCTTGTCCAGTGCCCGTCACACCTGGGGAAGAAAACTAGAATGATGAGACCCTTGTTTACGAAAACATACCGAAAACGATGTTTAAATAATGGTATACATCTACCATGCGGAAAATGATACGAAAAAGGGCATCGAAAAACACTATTTTTGCAGTGGGTGTAACATGTGAGGTCATAAAAATTCGTTTAATTTATGATGAGAGCTTCAGTGAGAAGCAACCTGTATGCATTCAAAAGTTTACCGCAAGCGCGATAGGATGATTTTTAAACATATTTCAAAAAATGGGTGTGATGTTAGTATTTCTGTGTAAGATGTGTGTAAAGGCGTCTTGGGAATCTAACGACTCGTCCAGAACACGTTTTCTTCTGGGTCTCAGCAGAAGGGTCGGTTGCCTTCGCCGTGCTAGTTATTTCTTCGAGGAATAGCGCGTATTCAGACAGCCTTGTATTAATTGCAATGGTCAGTTAGAGGCTCATCGGATCTCCTTCTAAATAGGCCGGTTTCGTTCGATCGATCCTAACACTCTTCGTATCTCATTTTATGTGGGACAAGGAGTTTATCCCTAAGCTTAATGACTTTACATGGGGATTCCATAAGACGACTGAGAGTCAAGATGAAAAAACACATGAGATAGCTGACACTGTGTCAGCACCGAACGAGGATACTAATGTATCTATTTATCACACATGTATCTCCCATTACATGCTCAATCCAAACGACCAGCCAGCTCTGACTGCTACCTCACAAACCCGCCTCAAGTCTTCCAATGATGCAAAGATGGTGGTCAGTTAGTCTAAAGACATGTATGCAGAGGATACTCATGGATTATTTTATCCAGATTTTGTCCGCTCACTGAAACCAAGTAGACAGTGTTTATCCACTATCCTGGTAAATAATAGATCAGTTTTAAACAAACACTTAACACTAGGTACATTAGATTTTATAAACAGACCTTCATTGATTATGATTACCAAAGCTTGGTGCACAGGTTAAATCTCTAATGACAGCCTAAGGATTGATATATACAACCTTTCCGAGGGGACGGACAGAAAGGCCGTGCAGGTGGAACACTAATTTACTGTGGAAAATCCATGTGTGCAAACCAGTTCAGTAACCCAATTCTATCACAACTCAACGACTCCATCTGGGCCGAAATAAAAGTTGTCAGAGGTAAGTCTATCCTTATGGGTTGTGTGTGCCGAACCCCTTCATCCAACAGGAAGTATGATAATATACTCAGCAACATTTTTAGTGTTACAGCAAATCTTCCCTTCAGTTATAAAATTATAGGAGGTGATTTCAACATGCCAAAAGTATCATGGCCTTCACTCCGAGGACCCCTCCATAATCACAGGAGGGTGGAAACAACACACAAATTCACCCACTAGATCCGCATATAACCTAGGCCTTATTTTCATGAACAACATAACATAAGCTCCCGCGCGCTTTGTGTAAGACGTTACATTCTCTCCAAATAACGTGGAAATAATTTTTCCCATTCTGGAATATCGCGGTCTATATTTGACTACTATACTGGCTGGCTGAATTCAACCTAGAACTTGGCGCCGAAGTGCACCAGTTCGAGTTGCCACGTTCCGAATAGCACACAAAGGTAAACAAGAAGATGAGTGAAGAGAATCAATAGAGTTTTGACAAGTATAAGAGTGAAACAGAATGAGTAATGGTAGAACGGAATATGAAAGATTACAAAGACTGAATAGATCTGCGTAAGCCATTGACAACGATTTTGAGCCATGTCACCTATTGTCTCCAGTCATTGATTCTTAGAGTCCCGAGGGTGGGCCCCAACCCGGAAGTCTGCATCTCCCTACCTGACCCAGTTTAACTGTCAGGGATTTCATGGATTGATGCCATGTTTTTGTTTGGCCACAACTTACTCTTTTCCAACCTGCACCCATATCAGCTAGTAATGCCCGTCGGGGGAGGCCGATGCTTTTTCCATCTCTTTAGCCCTTGTCACCCACCACTGTTCACGGTCCTTGCGGAGACTTTTCGTAAGTTTCCTTTTGTGCAGCTTTCGCTCCTCATTGAATTCGGAGCTCGCCGGAATAAGTCTTCTAGCATCTATCAGTTCGGATGAGGCAGTCGAAATCCAATGGTTTTTTTACTCACATTTTGGATTTACCTTATTCACAGCTTTTACAGCTGTATCTACGGCTGGCTGAATATTCTTCCAGGCTTCTTCAGGGTGAGCGCAGCTGTCGAACTCAGATATGTGTTTAGCTAGTTCTTCCTCAAATAGGGACTTAGTTTCCTGATCGATCTGGGGACGTGATGGGTTTACCGCTAGCTGTTTCCTACGTTCGTTCAGTCGTAAACACACACGAGCGCAGACCAGTGCGTGATCGGTATCTACACACGTGTTCCAGAAGGAGCGACAATCTCCTACCGATCCACGCCGACGATAGCTTATTGCTATGTGGTCTGTTTGTGTCCAGAGTTGGTTTGATGATGGTGGTAGCCAATGCGTCCATTCGGTACCACTGTAAATGAAAACAGAAGCTTTTCAATAAAAAATTCATGAATAGCCAACAGAGTACAGTAAGCAACTTAAAAGAGACATTGACTTGGAAACTATAGCGGAAAAAAATATAAATTCCTTACCACAGTTACCGTTTTGGAAAGTTCCTGATTGTAGCCATAAACATTTACTGAAATACTCGTGAATGACAAATATGGACACAAGTGATGAAACGAAGCTCTACAGAAATCATTGAGACGCCACAAACAGGAGGATCTTAGGTGCACCCTATAATTTTCACATGAAACACATTCTCAAGCATCCTCCTGCACCATAACTGCCTTCAGGCCTAGAGGCAGCTTTGGATGACTATTCTTAACAAAATCACTACAGTTCAAGCCAAACAGAAACCAGAATCACGTCAAATGCAGCTACCTAGATCAAACGAAACAAATCAGCCAAACTGAAATCAACTAGACCGCACAAATGTCCTCAAGGTAAAGCTGGAGGCGCCACTTCAAACAGGGGATATGCCTTATCAACGCCCGTGGTCGCCAGGTCAAACAGTGTCTCTCCTTATGTTTGAAGTTAGTGCTTACAAGAAACAAATGATTATCTGAACAGAACTGTATGAGACGGTCACCGTTGTTGGTTCGCTGGCACGGAATTCCGTATGTGCCACCGACTTCCTTCTAAGA